AGGAATGAAGTTCAAGTCTCTCAGGCTGCTTTTGATTGCATGTTCACTTTGCGACTCTTCTCACAGAGGACACATTCTTTAAGCTTCCACTTCTGAATCCCTCTTACTTGTCCTCTTCTCTCCGCGGCCGCTTGCGAGGGTTCCTGCTGGTGTCTTCTGCCTTGGGAGGGAGAGCTGGAGGCTGCACATCTCGGAAACCATGAGGCTGTGATGTATAAGCAAAATCATGTGACACTTCTGGGGATATAAAGCATGAGTAACTGGTTCCCAGAAGATCAGAATAAGTTATGATGCTGTCATTTATTTTAGGTGAGCGGCCACAAAACGTTTATAGACCAGGCTAAGCTCACACCTGCAAGCTTTTCAACAGACTTGCCAACTGGAAACTGGCTCCTCATTTTGTTTTTTAAAGATATTTTATTTTCACCACCCCAGCTATCATTTTCATGTTACCACTAATAACCCCTGTGGCTATGAAGGGCTGCTTCTCTGTAAATTAACTTATGTTGCCAATTTAAAGAATTTAAAAGCCAAATCCTTCAGCCCTTACTCAAGCTCTGCAGAAACAAGGAGATGACTGGATTAATTGCTGCAGTCATTTTCAGACACAAAACTGTGACTTTCTAAAACCTAGGGTATTCTTGTTTCATGCATCTACTTAATGAACTGAAAACATCAATGAGACATTGTAAGAGAGCATATCTGAATCAGTCTCTAGACTGCAGGGACTCTCTCAGCATAGTAATTTATGGGACACAACGGGATGAGAACCTTTACCTGCCAAAAACTAAATGTAGAAGGGAAAACGATATGCTTCTACCCAGCAGAGAATTTAAAGTGATCTGCTTGGCTTAGTACCATTCTTATTTTCTGTTACCTTAGCTCATGATTCAATGATTTTAAATGATTTTAAAATATGAAGGATCTGGAAAATCAGTTAGTTAAACATGTCACCAATGCAGATGGAGGTATCTGAGATGTTCTGTGAAGCCTGCAACTGTCTTCCTGTCTCCAGACAAATGCTGTGCAGGGAGCACTGCTGACAGCTCAGTGAAAACTCTCACTGCAGTGCAGGCTTGGAGAGGAAAGGGGGTTAATCACAAAAAGAAAGTGCTTTGGGGATCCTAAATGCTCAGGTAGAGACAATGTGGGGATGAGAGAATTTCAGGAAAGCTGACATTTTAGGTTGCTGAAGTGTGAAAAAGCAGGCAGAATTACTATCAGACGTAGCATGTCCCATGCCAAGATCAATCCAAAACAAAGCCCAATTAAAAATAGTTTGCTTAAGTCTCCCATCTCTGTATTTCTATTTCTAAATGCCTCACCTCACACAACCTGCTGTTTTTAAAGGAACAAACAGCATGAAATGCCACAAGGGCAGAATTTGTGCAGTCCCTCTGCTATTATAAGCAACTCAAGTGTTACTCTGAAGAGCATAATGGGGAATCTTCAAGTTTAGTGTTTCACTGCTGCTTGTGTCCAATTTCTGCCATTTCCCTTAGGCACATAGGTGGATCTGTAGCCAAGAATCCACTTAATCCAGCATGCTAGACTCCCAGTGCAAGCATTCCAATGGTTGTAAGACCAGAACACGATAAAACAGGCTGTTTAGTATGGATGCTTTGCATTTAGTTAAAGGCATGTACTTTCTGGGCATAGAGCCTTGAAAATACAATAATTTTGATGTTGTGTCTATTTGTGAAACTTGTTAATCATTTTTAGATGGTGAGAACGTGGCTAATGAAACCAAGGACCTAAAAAGCTCAGAGGGTTTAGGATAATTTTGAATTTTCTTTAGTATTTCCTGGTGTCTATAGTATTCATCAAGATTGACAAAAGTAGATGGCTTTATTACTTGAGCAGTATTCTCACTGCTAGTCTGGCAGACCCTCCAAAGTTCAGGGAAATACTGGCAATTCCCACCCAGAATATATGTTCTGGGTCTCTGTCTTTCACCATGAAATAATCAGGTCACATTATCTGGGAAATGTAGGTGAATCAGATGATCTACTTAATCCCTTGTGCATAAGTCAATTTACATTTCTATAGCCTGCATTCAAGAATGAATCCTTATCAGCCTGTGAAAGAAACTGTCTCATTTGAAAGGTGTTCCACAGCTTCCAGACTGCTCAGTGGTGACTGACTTGCCAGGAGGCTGGAGAGGACACAGCTGAAGAGAACTGGAGCTTGGTCACTTACACACTTGTCCCTCAGCTTACAGCTTGTTAGTGGTACCCAAGTATCTAATTTGCATAAGCCTCAACATCCTTGAGGATCTAGGCTTGAGGAAATTATTTTTAAATTTTTTTTTGGTATGCTGGTTATACATAGATGTGCTGGATCAGATTTGGAAACGCTGAACATATATTTACATCTCCCAATTTAACTATGGAAATGAGAAATGATAACAGCAGACTCTTGCCATCAGAACTGAATTTCATGAAAGAAACAGGCATGATACATTTTTTTTTTACTTAAAGAAATGTTCTGCTGCAGCAGCTCAACAGGATTAAGAGAAAAAAAACAACAGGGATAATCTTAAATTTGTACTAATCTTTGATTAGGATACACTCTCAACTGTATTTCAAGATTGTGTGCATTCACACAGAAGAGGGCATAGCTGTTTTATAATGCATATCAAACTGAAAAGGAAAGCCAATTAAACTGTCTTAAGATAAAATCCATCTGTTTGTCAGCTGGAGAGAGAGGGCTGCACACTCACATCACATGATCCAAACAACCTTGGGATGTAGTCCCACTTATCCTTCCAGTTTTTACAGAACTAAGAACATATATGTTTTTGCAGTATTTCTTCTGTCCAGGTGAATATATTTAGGAGTGACAGAAATCTGATTTCTGTTCAATAGTTTGAAGATCTCATCTTATGGCAGCAGGAAAATCTGCAGTAAATGCTATGGCAACGTGTTTCCATGAGGACACATAGCAAATAGTTATGGCAAGTACCTATGTATCTGACATTTCAAGATACAAGAGTTGAGTGGTGAGGTTTTTTTAAACCTAATACAGCTTAGACACTATGTATTCTCATTAATATGTATCTAAGCATGCCACAAAAGAAAATAATCACAGGATTTCACTAGGGATGAATAAGGACTCCAGCTATAAGCTGGGAACTCCTCGTCTGATAATGACAGAAGAGAAAATCTGAATATATTGGCTGGTGATAAGGCCACTGGTAGGATGGAACTATGAAAGAGATAAATACAGTGTAGATTTTATTAGGCAATGCACTTGAAGGAGAGATGTGGAAACATGTATGACACAAAGCACTTCTGAGACCTCTGGAATACCATGTAGGAATCTGGTCACCCTTGTCCTAAAAAGAGAAACTTAACTGGACCAGATGCAGAGAAGAGCCACTTGGGAAACAACAACCTACCTGACAAGGGAGAAAACAGCTTGGCTTGCTCAAGTCTCCCAGAATGAAGGCTCAGAGACTGTATGATTGTTCTCTGTAATTGCACTTAGGCCAAAAATTAACATCAAGGGCAGATGAACTAAGCAGTACTAGCAGCAGAACAGATGGGGAAAGACTGCCTGTAAATTTGGTCTGGAATCAAAATGTTTTAACTGTAGAGGACTAACATGGGTCACTTTGCTGAAGAGCAAAACATTCATAAACCTGAAGACATCCCAGTGTTCATGGTTACTTGCAGAAGGCAGCTGAAACGCAACACTAAGAAAGCAAACAACATTCTCAGATTTGTCTAGTGTGTCTGGAAATTCCTTTACAGCTAAAGATTTGCTCCCACCTCCCTGTCTCCATCCCAAAATAATACTGACTGTTATGCAATATGGGATGGTTGACTCCTTCTGACTCGGTGATTTGTACAACGTTGCCAACCTGGTTAAACAAAAAACAGTGAATTATAATTAGTGAATACAGTAATAAAACATGGAAGTAACCCAAGTTTCCCCACAATCATGGGGTAGATGACCAATGGAATTCTTATTTATGTATTTTCATATAGGTCACTTAAACTGTTGATGCCAAATTCCCACCCATACATGACCTGTCAGATCAAATGTAGACCTACTAAAAAGAGTGAATTATTAATTAGCCTTGTCTCATCATAGTATTTTATCACATTTTTGGAACAATATTCATTATGACTTAATTCCAAATGCCATTTACTTAAAATGCAAACAAAAAAAGGTTTTGAGCACAACTCTTTTCCACTCCATTAAGCAATCATTTGTTCGTTGACCTCTCAAAATTGGATGATATCCTCAAGAATTCAGATACTTCTAGGGAGTTGTTTTTTCTAGAGATTTCACAAGCCTGTCAATATAACCTAGAGGCTGGAGAATGAGGTGTTCTATTTATAAGCCTGACCTTGCCACTGACATACAGCATAACCTTGAGAAAATCGTTTCTCCTCTGTTTCTCCTCTAACACTTGGATTTTGTGCATTTAGACTCCAAGCAGTGCATCTTGATTTGTGCTTATACAGCACCTAGCCAATAATATGCTTGTATAAATAGATCAAAGATTACAAAGCAGCTCAAAAGCTTATGTTGTTTTTTTTTCAACCAGTCCCAGGGCTGCTTGTCTGCACCATGCCCACCTTCCCAGAACTTACACTTACGGAAAACCACTTCAGGATGAGTCCTGCGGCCTGCATCAAGACACCCTGCCAAAGATCCTATTAATTATTTTGGGTGGGTTTTGTTGTTTTTTTTTTTCCCTCCCTGAGGTGCCATTCTATTAGAGAGCACGTAATTACAGCCTGAGGAACACTGCCACTTTGTATTAGCTACACAGGGAATTCCTCAGAACATTGAAGTGGTGGATTATACTTCACAAAACAGCCTCAATCCCAGGCTGCAGAAGCTCTGCTTTTACCAGTGCTCCACTGGAGCTCTGCTCAGCCTCTGACTCAACAGGATCCTTCCTCAGAGCAATGAGAACCCTGAGCATTAAGCTCAGATATTTTCAGTAGCAGAAAGAAAAAGACAGGTATCACGTTGGGCCAAAGCACAATTTAAAAAAAAAATTAAAAAAGGCAAATGGATTCTCAAATGTTCATCTCTGTGCTTCAATAACCTCATATAACAGCAAGAAAACCATGATGGATCATGAGGTAGAGGTCCATGTAAATTTGCAACAGAATCTAGATATTTCTGCTCTTTACAGATAGGCAGTTGTAATCAGAATTGCTTCTGCAGGCCCTGCTCCCTGCATACTTAGCACAGTAAATAAAAAATGCTTGTCTATTTTTGGCTTGCTTTCTGGAACCTGTATCCACAACCTTCCTTGCTGTGTTGCAGAGGAAAAAAAGTTTACTTTTGATATATAAAATTAACTTTTGTTCACTCTGCAATCATTATGTTGATGCAACTTCTCTCTTATAAAGGCTGTTAACTAATCAGTGATGTTAATCTAATTCCAAATTAAACAGCCTGCTGTAATCATGCTGCATTGCATTCAAACTTAGAATATGAAAAACAAAACTCTGGAAGAAAGTGTCACTGCATTTCTCTTTCAACTTTAACAAGCAAAACTATGCACAACAGCATTCCAGTAGCAGTTTTGCTCACTGTTTGCAGAAGATTAGGGAATTGAAGCAAGGCTTCTTTATCTCAGATTCCTGCATTGTGATACTTCAGACAAGACAAATTTAACTGACCAGGAAAGAGAAGTGAGCTTGCAATACTAGTGAAGAAGGGAAAAAACAACCAGGAAACAGAAAGGATCTCATTGCTACAGACAGAACTTCATACTATTTTTAGAAGGGTCATCCTCATTCTCATTTCTTTGGGCTTCTAAAATAATCCTCCATAGGTCAGCTCTGCACTAGGAGTAAGTGCAGCTCTTTTTCTACCCCTCTGCACATCATGTGTCTGCACAGCTGCCCAGTTTTGCAGCACCACCCTGCTGCATTCAAAGGCAGAAAGGTCCAATGGCTGCCACTGAAGCTCAGAGGCCTGTCTATGGTCTGTCCTGAGCATCACTATCTGAGTGGAAAGCCTTCTTCAGCATCTTTGGCTTTGAATTCACTGGGGCCTAAAAGACTGAAGCAAAGAAATTCTGCTCCTTTCTACTTCACTTACAAAATGCAGGTAGTTAAGAAAATTTTCTACTTAGCCACAAAATCCTAAATTCTTGTGTCTGAGCCACTGCCAACAGGGTATTATATTTGGATGAGATGTGGCATCTTGTCAGAAAGGCCAGCACTGCAGCAGGCTGGCCATGGTGAGGAGGAGAAGCAGGACAGGTCAGCCCATGCTGTCTAAAGCTGAACTAGAAAGCTGCTTCTGAGCCCCAGTAGCCTGGACAAGGCAGACCAAGCCCAGAAGCCAAATTCACATTACTGCTTGGCCACTAGAGCCAGTCTGAGAAAGACCAGCCCCCAAATATAACACCTATCAGTAGCACTAGGTACCTCATGCCCTACATTTTCACTTACCTCTGGGTGTTGTCCCAGTGAAAGATTAAACGGACAGTAGCAGCATGTCCCCAGCTTTCCCCTGGGTGACACAAAACAAAATGACATTTTATTTATCTCCTATAACAGTGGAATCATCAGTAAACTGAACTGAAATTAGACCACCAAGATTAAAATATTTATACCTTTCTTGCAGTAATGAATCACATCCTGAACTGAAATTAGACAGTCTTAAAAAAAAACAACCCACCAAGATTAAAACATTTATACCTTTCTTGCAGTAATGAATCACATCTTTTTCTTTTTTATATGTGCAAGGATTTCACAACTAGTTTATCAAATATCCTGAGACAAGTAACCTCAGTACTCACTGTGTTTTATAGAAAGCTTGATGCAATACTTCCATGTTTGTGGAAAGATTTTTATATATAATTTATAAAGGACAGGTACTAGACAAATCTTGAAAACAGAGGCAGCATGAAGAAAAGATTTTTCTAATTACTACGGAAGAAGTCTAGTGAGTATGTCTAAATCCTACTTCAAAACTGTGATATTCTCTCTCAGGCATAATTATGAGCAAACATCACTCCCTTTGGGATACAAGCTTTGGGAGAAAGTCAATGATTATTAAAGTATTAAGGCCCCTGAAGCAGTCTTCTGCTTCTGACAGCAAAATGCAAAAGAACACAACTGAAAGGGTGGGGGAACGTGGTGGAAAAGGAGGAGAGAGGGTTTCGATTGATATCCTACTTCAGGGGAAACAATCCTACTGTTTCAGTTGACACCTGACCACAAGCTCAGTCAATTTATAGACAGTTTTATTGGATGTTTTTCTCTGTTTATCCCAGGAGACAGTCAGTAGTCCAAAGATGGATGGCCTTTTAAAACAGTCACTTTGGTTTAAGTGCTGCAAGCCTCTCCTATTCACCTGCACACAGCTCTCTAACTTCTGAAGTGCTTGTGGGTCTCCAGCATGTCCCAGCCCAACATGCCCCACCTGCTCTGGGATTTATATAGCACAGAGAAGGAAAAAAAATTAGTCAACTGTAATGAAGACCCAGACCCTCCAGACATCTTGCCAGACCTTGCTCCACTATATCTAAGTTGAAATTAAAGATTTTGGCTATCAGATAAAGTTCCAAGTCAGAGATTAAAACACATTTTACAATAGGTACAAATTCCACACCAGAATGTGTTCCAATTGTATAAAATATGACAGAAAAATGCTACTATGAAATGAGATATTTCTGAGTTAAACTGGCTGTAGATTAATATTTGACCTCCTTTCTAAATATATCCAGTAGAAATGTCTAGGAACACCCAGCTTAGCTATCACTAGTGGAAAAGAAAGCTGTTGCCTTCATAAAGCTCTTGACTTAATACCTTGCAGCATCTGTGCTTTTTTTTTTTTCATAATTAAGAACCTCCCCTCTGCTAGGAAGTGGAATAAGAGTTTAATGTGCTTGTGAAATCTTAGAAAAGGCTGTTTCTAAGGCTTCCCATTCAATGGGGAAAAAACCTATTTAGGTGAGGCAATAGGACAGATTTCACTTGGAGTTTTGCTGCTGGCCCTTCCCTCAACAGTTCCTTTGGTTACAACCAACCATGGAGGAGCAGGAGGCTCTTTAGCCTCTAACATCAGACTCTTGAAACAGCTTCTCTTCAGAGTGGGTCATAAAAATAGCCTTTAATCCACCATCTCAATATGAATCTATGGAATCTATAACCTATGGAATAAATTCACATATTGGTACCACTCTGAAATGCTCAACCTGAGATATGGCTGTTGAGGATGAAGGGAATATTCTCTTAGCTTAAATATTTTACCAACTGGTGCAAACTTCCATTTTTGCAGGAGTACTCACTACAGTGTTAAACAATACTACGTGGTTACACACACATTCTTCTGAGAGTCACAGTTTATGGTCAGTGTGAGGTTATGTCAAATTAAATGTTTGTAAAAGACAATACGCACAAGACAATACATGGTATCTTTGAATTATAACCTACTTTTTTACTCTCCCTATGGCACAAGAGCTCACAGACAATGCTGGCTATTAAGAAAAGACAGCATTTATTAGCTTGAATTGAGTTTGCAGCCAGAAAGGCTGCCAAAAATAATATAGCAGAGATCAAGAGGCAAAAATAACAGAAAGGGTCAAATACCGGAAGCTGGGACTTTATCTGCCTGCACAGCTCAAAATTCCACATTCTTCACATTCTCAGAGGAGATGGTCTGTAGTTGTTCATTTTATCTTACATCTGTGCTGAATGTTCAATGCCTGTACAGACACTGAGAACATCTTTGCCTTTGTCCTGTCCCCTTCTTCTCCCTCCTCTCCAGAACAAGGGAGTCATTACTTACTTCACAGGAACTGAAGCACTGGGCAGAAAATTTGTGCCCTTTAAGTGCATCGTAAAATAATATCAAGTTACAACCTGAAATAAGATTTAACCAGTGAGCTTTTTCTTAATTTGTCACAATCTCTGCTTCAGAAAAACTGATCCATTTTCCCCTGAGACTGCAGCAGAGGAGTCTGTATGAGGTACTCTGCTCATTACAGGGCAAGATTGAGCAGCCTGTAAAAAACACTTAAACTCACTATGGGCAGGCTGTGCTTGAGGATCCCACACAGAACTTCCCTCTACATTATAACTGTAGAGAGCAGTGGATAGAGACCTCCAGCTATGCAGCAAATATCAAATGCCTTTGCAAGTAATTAATAGAACATGTTCAAGTCTAATGACAAAATAAACAATCTAAACTATTCTGGAGAGGCACTGAATGATTCTCAGGGAATTTAGGAAATTGCAGCATAGACTGAGGTGTGTAACCATTAAGCTGTTTTTTCCTGTTAGTGCTTTAATTTGTTCATCACCATATTCCTGCTAGAGGTTTACTGTCCCCAGGTCCACACATTTTTTGGTATGATTATTCACTGTCCAATTTCAGTCTAGATTAGCTGATTTATCAGAGGTTTACTTATTATTTAAACAGCTCAAGCTTACCTGGCCCACTTTTGGCAGATATGGATTGAGAGACAATCACATAAACAGCTCAGCCAGCACACAGGATGTGGCAGTGACCTCCAGGAGGGGTAGTGCCCTCCTTAGCTGACACCACTGCAGCTGGAATAGAGGTAACTCCACAGCCTGGGGTCCTCAGGGGAAGGCTGCAATACATGAGCTGCATGTCTCAAAACCTAGTTACTCAGAGAGTACTTAGTACCCAGTGCTTCCCCTAAAGAGTGAGTCAGTCATCTTAAGGGATACTGACAGATATAGTATCAAGTTTACTATTTAAAACTTTGGTTTAAAAAGGGGGGAAAAAAAATCCAGCAACATTCTCAGTTAGTGAGTTTCTGCAAGCTGCAAGTGTCATGGCTTTAAAAACTATTTGTAATCCCTTTTCAAGACTCTTAACCAGGATTCTAACCTGCACACTATGTTTGAATTTAGAATAAAATTTGATAGTTGCTTGTTATAATCACAAGGCTGACACAGAAAAGCACTACTGGAGGTTCCACCAGGCTTGCAGTTCCAGATGGGTCTAATATTTTCACCCTGGGTTCTGCTACACTGCAGAAATTCAGCAAACAATTTCCTTTTCCTTGTACACAGTGACAAAAGAAAGGGAGTCATATGTTTGAAGAGTAACTCAGTTTTCAACTCACAAGCTAAACACCTACCTAAAGCAGGTACCAATGTGGACTGGGTTTGTCCAATCCTTGTTGTCATTTGATTTGTCAGAACTACCTAAAAGAGGAAACAGAACAGAAGAGAGGGATTTTTCAAAAAAGCTTTTACCAATAAAATAGTTTCTCAGACAAAAGTCTTGCCAATGGTAGTAAAGCCTCTGTATTTAGAAGAAGAAACTGGGAAGGTGCTTCTTCATTTTTCGACAGCCAAAACAAAAGAACCCTGCAAAATGTATTTTCAGATTTCTTTCATTCAAGACTTTAAAGAAACCTAAATTTCTCCCTTCCCAAGGGATGCAAACTCTACATAATAAGTATGTTCCACTGTGTTTGTACTAAAAACTGTTTGGATCTATATTTAGAGGCACGTGGCACTAGCCCTCTATAAAGAGATAGCTTTCAGTCACTAGCAGAAATGAACTCAGTGCTGCTGCTCAAAACATGCTGAAGCCTAGTGATTAACAGGATTTCTGCACCTTCTAGTCTAAAAATGTGCAAGTGGGTACAATACAAAGAATGAAAGTGAACAGACAGGGCGGGGGAGTGTTTTCGCAGCACGAATCACTCGTAGGAGGTTCACAGACAGTCTAGGTTAGATCCCTGGTAGAAGTGGGGGTGGGTGAGACAGAAAAAAGCCAGGAATATTAATCGTAAAGTTCATTAAAAATGAAAAATAATAATAAAAATAAATTGCGCTTCTCTTAAGCTCTGGGGGTTTTCATTGTTTGACAGGCTTGTGTGATTCTTGCTTGGTCAGAGGAGTGTGCAAGCAATTCTTCTGAGCACACGGGGCACACATCAAAACATTTACGTAGCTGAAAGCCCCAAGAGACATACTGCATATTTTAGAGAAGTAACTTATCATATATGGATGATAACAGCCCCATCTCACTGCTGGAGAAGGGCTGGTCTGGGCATCCTGGCACAACCCACTGAGTTCAGCTTTAGAAACTGGAGGAAGTTAGTGCCTACCATATTAGAGCATTCCCAGTGCCCAGCTTTGCTGCCCAGTGAGCAATCTCTGGCACGCAAGCTCAATTTAGACTGCTTGCAAGCTACAGGGAACTAACTTAAAAACTAACAAGGGCTACTCTGAGCTCAACCAGTTCAGAAGCTCTGTGACTGATTGCTTCTTTAGCAAGTATTTATTTAGCAAGCGTTTGTGCAAAACTGCTCACTTGTTCAATAGAAATAAGTCATGTTTCCCTTGGCCAAAGTAAGAAACAACAACTGTACAATGACAACTTCTCCTGCTCAAGGTCATCAGGTGGCTAATTCATGAGTGCAAGCACTCAGTGAACTGGAGGCTGTGCAAATCAAGCAGTCATGCCACATCCATCTCCCTTGGTGCCCACACTGGCAGGAAGAAGGTTCATCATTCATGTCAGGGTGAGGGAGGGGATGACACTTCCAGCAGTAAGATCCATCCCCTAATCCAGGGAGAACAGGCTCTGCTTCTTCCCTTCCCTTCCTGCAGCTATCAGAGGAAGCACAAGGGGAGGTTTATTTTTAGCACTGAGGAACAAAAGCCAATTGCGTGAGCGAGTTGTGGGTGACAAGGCTGCGAGTCACCTGGAAACAGCTACAGGCACAAGCACCATTTTGAGCCGGTGTAAGCTTCAAGTCCTGAACAAAGCTTCCCTGGGCTGTAAAAGACTTGCCAAAACAACTTCTGGGGCAGCTGTAGCTTCTGAGTGCCATCTGCTGGCTGCAAGGCCGCAGATCTGCTGGCCTCCATATTGGCGTAAATGACATAGAAACAATGCCCAGGAAGGAAGCTCTTGGGCTTCCAGGGCTGCCAGAACAGCCAGCCAAACTAGCAGATAAAGTGGTTTCCCTCCCCAAGAACAGTTCCTCCGCTAAGACAGTAGTTTATTTTTAAACAAAGAGTGGAAAATTAAGTTGGAGCTGCTAAGCACTCAGGTGTATTTTAATGTGTGCACTCTGTACGTAGATGTCACAAAGCAGCATGTCCAACCACATCATTAAAGAAGATGATGTGAAACATGACAAATGGATATGGTATCATTTAATTAAGATCCACAGGATGCTTTTAATGCAAATTTTACTTACTTTGGCATGTCTAGGAACTTTAGACCTTAACAGTGTTGTCTGTGCAATCCATCTATATTTACTAACCAAACTGGCAAACACAAACCTAGACAACATTCTTGCTGGTTTATTTTGCTACTTACAGCCTATCAAGAAATCCCATTTGCTTAATTCTTTTTATTCCAAAGGAGCATCTTTTGAGATTTAAACCTGTCCCAGACCTACCGCTGCTTTGTGATCATTGGCAATGATGATCAGCTGTTGTGCCAGACCGTTCAACAGCCTGGTCCGGAGCGAGAGGTCCTCAAAGTCATGGCGAAAGGGAAACGCGATTCCATCCACTACCACCAGTCGGACCTAAACGTGGAAGGAGAGGAAACATTACCATTTCTGTCCCACAAACCAATGACAAAAAGCAGGAAGACCTCTCTCTAAGTGCACTGGAACGTTTTGTATAAGGTGATGACAATATTTTAATCCATACTCAGATATGCACGGCAGCGTAACACCTGGTGTCTCTAAATAGATGTTGGAGACGAAAGTGCAGGGGAAAGAGCCTCAAGCTCCACACACACTAGGACACCTGCTAGGACACCTGCTAAGTGCAGTGATGCATTAGGCATGGACACATAGCTGCACTAGCTTAACCAAAGTGCTGCCCTAAGCTCTCCCATTAGGTAACTCAGCACAGAGCTGCCCTTCTGACTGTCTCCAGTTTGATCTCTGCAGCACTGGTACAGAATAGGAAACAACAAAGCTGGACTTGCAGTCTTGCAGAATAGAAGCTGGAGGGAAAAATAAAATAATTAAACATCAGAGATGCACTTCAATCAACACTCCGCAACCACTAATTTATTTCACCTTCTCCCTAAAAAAAAATCCAAACCAAAACCAGAATACATGCTCTCTGCAGTTACTTTTAAGAGAACTCATCAGGTTCTAAGGGTCATTATCAGCAATCTATCATAGAAATATGGATTTTAACAGATGCTTACAGATATTCTAGGCACTGTGCAATGGAGCTGAGTATCTGTCTTGCCTAAAGATGTTTGCTTTGCTGAATATTTTATTTTGTAGCAATCATTAGCTGAAGCTGGAGCACAATGCTGCTGCTGGCTCATCACCCTCAAGACACTATATAAACATTAGTCTGGGATTTTGATTTATCCTAACTTCATTTGCTGTAGCAGTTTTGGTGACCCTGATTGAAATACAGAAGGGAGATGGATGGTCTTGTAGTGTCTGCATGTTCAGATGTCACTCAAATCCTAGGTGTCTACAAGTTCTTGCACTAAAGCACAAGGTAACAAACTGGAAACAACACAAGAAAACCCATTTTCTGTATTATCGATTTAACTCATTAGTGGGAAGTTGCTTTGTGACTGGAACATACAAGTCTGCAGCAAAGTGAAATGGCCCTCCAACTAAAAAATATAATCTTAAATTGAAAAATATTATTAAATAGCTAGAATTAAAATAAGATATTCCTCTGATTTCCATCAGATGAATATGTCCAGGTAGGATGCAACTTAGTTTTCTCCCAGTTGCACTTGTTATAAAAAAACTAACAACTTCAAGTATTCAAAAGTAGGCTACATAGAGCTTGGCAACACGTCTTCTTTCCATCAGCTTGTCTTTAAAATACCTTAAAAAATTAGGCTTACTATGGCAAGAATATTTTCTTACATAGTCTTTTTCATATTATTGGTCTTTGAAATCCTATTACCAAGATCTCAAGCTAATTCATATTTCCAAATGACACTCTCTATGTCTGTCAAAAAAACCCCAAAACCTGCAGGTGTCTTGTGGTCCCAGTCTCAGCTCCAGGTCTGCACAGAAGGATAAGACTAATTTTAATGAGAGCTGAACTGCAATGAGCAATCTGTCAAGTCCCTGATAGCCTGTCCAAGGAATCACCAGAAGCTCTTAAGAGTTCTCCTGCAATCTTCAGCATCTCCGGCTCCAGGCCAAGCACAGATAATCAGCACAGATGGTACCAGAGAACTGCAGCCCAGTGTAACTGTGCTAATGAAGCCATGTTCTTTCCACAAGAGCAAACACAACAGGGCACCATTAGTACCTGGCAGAGAAGGGGAAATACCAGACTACACTGAGCAAAAGTAAGACTCCCATCTGCCCTTTCGAGAACATACCAGCTTCCAAAGATGGAAATGATGTGCACAAGACAATCTAATCAAACAACACTGATTTCTGCTCTGTTAGAATGAGGCACAAATCTCTTTCCCAAATCCCATTAGGGACTGAGCTGCTGTGCACAATCTAGAAATCTGGAAGTGGTGACAATCTGCCTCACAATAGCATTTTGACCCAAGAGTCAAACTGCAGGCTCTGGTTGCTTGTAGCAACAGAAAATATATTGGTAAGACAGGGAAGAGTCACTTGCTGGATTCCAAGATGGTACAGGGTGCTTCTGGTCCTCAGTGATCTTCTAGGACAAAAAAACCAAAGCCTCCCTGATCCCCCTGCACCATGGTCATCACAGCTCACTCAGAGACTGCTTTGTACCGCAGTTTTGTGACCATAACTGGGTTGCTGGGTTGCTGGTACTGGTTCCTTAACAACATCTGGCAACATAGATCCAGTATCCTCACCTCAAAGTAGAGACTCAGGATGATGGCAGCAATGGTAGCAAAAGCAAATGTCTCTCAGGAGTAAGTGGGACGGGAATGAGAATGCAAACAAACAAGAAAGCTTTGCATTTGTACTCTGACATCAGCCAATGTATTACTGCCAAGCTGATGAGGTACTAAGGTGTTACTCATGTTACTCTTAATTGTACCAGATTAGCAGCCCTAAAAAAACTTTACTGTGAAGATGAGTCATATCTTCTGCAATAACCCTTACCTTTGAATGCTCTGAAAGAAAGTCTGGGAGGAGATAGACCTGAGCAAGAAGCTCTACATAGTCACGGCAACGGAAGTAATATATGTGAGAAAGGATATTCTCAAGAGAGAAAGTCTCCAAAGCTTTTAGATCATCTGGAACAAATAAATATAGATTAATAAATGAGTCAAAAGTCTGCACTAACATATTGCTACTTTCATCATTCTGCCAAACTATGCCTTCCACATATAGCAACAGCAAAACCCCCAGAAACAGAAGCAGTCAAGGTGAAGCGTGTGGGAAATGCACCTTCCATCTGTCTTGAAAGTCAAGAAGGTGGTGAGCAGATGCTCTCTCAGCATTTGCACATGGGTACACAGGAACCTCCAAGGGAGTGCTCCAAAAATGAAAAATTTACTTCTGGAAAAAGAACTTGTCCAGTAAATAATTTTCAAGCCAGAACACCACCAGAGCACAACAGTGACTATTAATCATCCATTGTTTCACATACAGGCAGTAGCTCATTTAATATGGTGTCCTTTTACCTCATTCAAGAAGTTTGCTGCATAAAATACTCTAAAGCTAACATAGAAGCTGTGTCACTATCCCCAACACACTCATGACTTGTAGAATAAAATGCAACCTGGCTATATTGACCTGTTGAAGGAGTTGAATTCCAGCTACAGTTTTACAATAAGGCAGCAACACTGCCCTAAAAAAATCTGCCCTTCCTCTCCTCTTTCCCCAGCTGCTCTTCCTGTCTCTGCATTGCAGCACTTGATCTGTAAGCTTTTCTGACAGGGCTGTTTGGGTTTTGGTGTAAATGTGATCATCTGTGCTCAAAAAAACCCAGAAAAAGCCAAAAACCTCATATACCTTAAAACCCCACATACCTAAAACCCCTACAAATCACCATGTAGTAAAAGAGTGACAAGAACTATTATTGGGGCCTACAGGAAAGCTGGGGAGGGACTGTTGACAAGAGGGTGGAGTGATAGGATGAGGTTGATGATTTAGATTGGATAGCAGGAAGAAGTTATTTACTGTAAGGGTGGTGAAGGACTGGAACAGGTCACCCAGAAAGCTGGTGGAGGCCCCATCCCTGGAGATACTTAAGGTCAGGCTTGATGGGGCTCTAAGCAACCTGATCTAGTTAAAAAGGTCCCTTTGCATTGCAGGGAGGACTGGACTAGATGAACTACATGAACTTTAAAGGTCCCTTCCAACCCCACACGTTCTATGATCCTTAAGCAGATCAGCTCAGTGTGCTATGGCTCCACATACTGCAGCTCAGGGTATGGGACAGGTGGAAATGAAAGGCTGGCAGCAAAACTCCCTCAGCCAGCACTGCTGCTGAAAGCCTCAAGCTGCAGAACTGCAGCCCAGAAGACACTGGCTTCACTCAGGTTTGAGCTTGCCAGACTGAAAGAAACATCTCAACAACGTACCTTCTTCCTGATGAGCCTCAGCAATGAGCTGGCAGTGCTGCACACAGGCAGTGGCAATATCCACTACTCTGTCTACCATAAAACTTCCTTCAGTATCAATGAACACAGCTTCTCCAGCTACACCCCCAAAGCATTCCGGGATCTGTACATCTACTGCCAACTGCATGCTGCCAGGGGAAACAGGAAAAAAAGAGAATTACTCACATCATAAAGCTCTCAGCTCCCAACTCACTCCTGCAGTGACATTAAAGGTTGGAACAAATGATCCTTGAGGTCCCTTCCAAGCTGGCATTCTATGATTCTGCTGAGGAGTACAGAGAACAGGAAGCTCAATATCCATTATCATGATTATATTTATAAGGATCAGGGATTGCAGTCATGACAACAAGGAAAAAACAACTCTTTTCATAGTTCAGTTAAGCAAAGTGATTCTCAGTTGCACAAAAGTAATCTAAAAAGGAGATACCATAGCTGTGTTTTCCCAACTCCAGGTGCTCCACAGATCTCAGTGATTTTTGTTAGCTGCACACCACCTCCCAGAACATTGTCTAGTGCTGAGCAGAAGGTGATGATGAAGCCCTGGGCTTGCTCTTCTTCCAGCAGTTCCAGTGCTGTGCACTTCCTGGTGGTGCCTGACCCCCCAGCACCCTTTGCTGCATCCCCATGACATTCCTGCCTCACAACTTGTAATGCTTCCAGTGCCTCTTCTTTGGAGATTCCAACCTCTGGAAGAATCAAAACCACGGAACATGACTTTATTTTTACCAACAGTGATTCATTCAAAGTAAGGAGGGATAACTTTGTCAGAGCCTGACCATTCTGCACTGAATGTGGCATCATATTAATTTCATTTGAAGCAAAGGAGGTCCAGTAACAAAGGTCAGGTTGCAGACTAGTGACACCCACTCCTTGTCCTCTGAATTCAGAGGGTATTCCAGGGCTGAGGACCTTACACAGACAGTACCAGAGGTGAGGAACCTCCACATATCCTTGTGTGTCCATCTCTATGAACACATCAGGATGTTGCTGCTTCAAGACAAAACTACTGCTACATATTATCATAGATAATGAAGCTACCAATAATCAAAATAATGATACATTTCCTACAATGGCTGTGCAAAGCTTATTTTTGAAAAAGGCAACTTTCTGACTTCATACAAATTGACTTTGCTTAAGAAGTGTTGGGGAAAGAGGAACGAGTGACACAATCCTCTGGTTATTCTGTACCTCACATCTGATGCTCAGGGCAAGACGGGTCTTTTATCAGACTTCTCAGAGTGGTTTTTCACTTTCCTAGGCAGGTGTGAGTCAGTCACTATGTACTGGGGTGGGTCTCTCAGGGCTGTGCCCGGGGCTGAGCTCAGCCCCGCACCAACCGCCCCCTCTGCTTCACACGCACCGAGCATTTCAACAGCCCAAACCCTACTCAAACCCAGCCTCGCTGCTGAGCCACCGCGGAGGGGAAGGGGCTGGGGGG